CAAGCCAAAGATAGGAGTTCAAAAATGCTTGATGATCACATGAAAAATTTCTATATTTCTGCTCCTATGTAATTCTATGAATTTGCTCTTATTTCTTCCCCCAAATCAACTGGAAACATTGCCTTCTGAGTGATGAATGTATTATTTTCACTTCTTCCAGGATTTGCCACACTGGTCCTTGGTAGCAATGATGTCTAGAAGACACACTTTGGACCCCTTGTTAGTAGAAAGATGCACAGATGCCTCTATGTTGACTCAGCTGTTTAAATACACATTTTCAAACGAAATATGTGCAGCACTGATGCCAAATTCCTCCTGACATTCACAATAATATTGAACTTGACTCAGTCAAACAAGTATAACAATATCTGGAACAAAAGTTTCATCTAGGTTTTATCTGGGTGGAGTATTTAACACCCCTTTTTAGTTTTCAGTTTGAAAAAAAAATTGAGAAAGTATTGGTGATTGAAGTTGTGCAGCCATTAAATTCAAAAGGCATGCTACTACTATTTAAAGCATCTTCTAGCTTAATGTTAAATTGTCCTTAAAATAGTTCTGGTTTAAGCCTGCAAAATGCTTTACAATGTGCTCAGTCTCTGTAGAACATTTTTCTCAAAGGTTGAAACAAAATTATATGACAATATCTTAAATATTATTTAAATAAAAATTTTAAAATTTTAGAGAATATGTGACAAGTAATTCCTGTATCTCTTTGTTAATAATCACACTTAAAAACAGAAATTGGATTTTTTTTAATGACAAAGATTCGGTTTAAAATCATTTTTTATATAAGCATGCACAGAAACAAATGAAAAATATGTTTAGAAAAATAATGAGATGCTAATAAAACCTAATTCTCTCCTGTTTGTATGTATCTACATCAAAGCATTTGGATAAAAATGTATCACAGTCTGATGTATGCAAGTATCTCTTCAATTTGTACTCTGAATGTCTTGACTATAGTTGCCTTTACATTTGTGCTTCCAAGCGCCTAATATGTCACACTTAGTAGGGTTCTTATAAATGTAAAAGGGAGAGAGACATTAAGAACAGAACAGAAACACAAAGGAGGAATGCAAGCAAGCAATCTGGGAGCAAATACATATTTCCTCCTGGTCATCATAGAGAGAGTTAAATATAGTAGTCATGCCAAGGCAAGCACCAATATCACTGTTATTACATTGCTGGAATGAACAAGTGTTGCTTCAAAAGAAATAATCCTGTGACACATATTACCATATTTATACACCCAAATTGAAACCAAGACTTGATACACAAATGTGCTCTGATTTGGGGGAACAGGCTGTAATCATTGACTGAATTTATAGCCTAAAGAATGTGATTAGAGTGATGAGAAAGTAGAAAACATATGAAAAAACAGGGCCTTCAGAAAAGAATTAAGACATAAAAAGTAGAAGATGATCATCGTTCTCCGTGTGAAATGAAGGGAATAAAGTTGAAAATACTTCTGATCAAACAGTAATTGTGCCACTTTCTTGGTGTATGGCCTTGGTTATGTTACTCTATTTTACTGAATATCTTATTCCTTCTAAAGAAAATGTGAGTCTTAATTCAATCTTCAGATGGTTCTAAGGACTAAATTAACAAACAACCTCTAGATAACATCTGATGTACTAATAGATAATTTTTAAGGTATTTTTCTTTATATCCCTGGCCTCTATCTCATTTAATCAGTTAGACCTAATGATCTTCATGATCTCAGGATGAGATGCTACAGGAAAAGGGAAAAGAAGATGTTTATACTACAAATAGAAATGCCCTTAAGAAAATAAAGGCAAAAGTAATAGATTTCACCCATGCATTTTTTAACTTAGTAAATATTTATTATCACTTACTATGCTTCAGATTTTGTTTTCGTCATTTAGGATATATCAATGAAAAAGTAGCAGAAATATCAGCCCTTTTATTACAGAGATGAGATGAAAATTACCAGTAAATATAGTAAATAAGTATGTTATATTTTTTAAAAAAGAGGAAATGAGCAGGCTAAAGGGGATTTAAAGTGGTCCACCTAGGAGGGAAATCTGTAGTACTAAATAAAATAGGAAGGTGTAGACCTAATAGAAAAGATAAGATTTAGGCCAAGATTTGAAGTGATGGAATTAGGTGACTATCTGGGGATTGAGTGATCCAGTCAAAGGAAATATTTAGAGAAAATATATTAAGGTAGGAATATTTCCAATATATTTTAGCTGCAAAGCAGAAGCTGGTATAGCAGGGAATGAATCAGCAATGAGTGAGACGTGAGTGATGAAGTCAGATGTAATAGGAAGTCACCACCCACCAGGGATAATGGGGATTGTAGAAGGACTTTGTAGACCATTTCAATGACTTTTATGCTGCATTTGTGGTATGAGGAACAATTGTGAGACATTTGACAGAAGAGTAACATGATCCACTTACTCTGGCCAAAGAATAGATGGTAGAAGACCAGGCATGGAAGCAGGATAATCTGTTAGAAGTCTATCTGCACTGATCCAAGAGAAATGATAATGGCTTAGGTCAGAGTGGTAGTAACATAGTGACAAGAAGTGACAGTACTTTGGATGTATTTTGAACATTGAGCAAATAAAACTTGTGATATATTCAATATAGGATATAAGAGAAAGAAAAATCAAGAACGACTTCAAAATATTTTTCCCCAAAAAATATTTTGTTTTGCCAAACAAGCAGAAAGATAAAGTTGTTGTTAACCAATTGAAGAAAAGTTATTGATGGAACTAGTTTTAGGGGCAAGAGCAACAATTTTACCTTGGTTTGAGATATATATTTATCTTAAGTTTGAGATATATATTAGATATCCAAGTGGAAATGCCAAGAGGGATGGAATATCTGGATGTGGAACTGTACTGGAGGAAAAAAAAAATCAGTTATCAATGTGTAGATAACATTTAAAGCCATGAAGTTGTGATTAGAGTGATGAGAAAGTAGAAAACATTACTGCTCTGATATTAAGTTGTTGGAGAGAAAAGAAAATTATATTATGGTTCTGAGGTATAGGATCTAATGTTCAACTAAAGGGATGGGTTTGAGAGGAATTATGTATAACTAGGCAAAAAATAAGTGTAGATATTTGTGCAGGTAGGTGAGTAGACACTATGATAAGAGTCTATGGAGTTGTTTCCAATTACCCTAGGGAAGTACAAGTAAGGACATCAGGTGAAGATAAGTGTGAAAGGAAATACAGACTGACTGACTAGAGTGAAAAAGGTGTGAAATAGTGATTTTTGATAGTGGGACCGCAAGTAAATTAGCAGAGCATAGCTTGAGAGCCAGGAAGCCCTAAGAAGCCACACACATATTAACTGTGATTCAGTCCATGTGGTTGTAGGTTTTCCCTCCAGCCATGTGAAGCTGCACAAGACAAACACAAAGTAGACAGAGTTAAGGATTTCATCATGGTTTTGGTTTAGACAAGTGTGTAAAACAAATGAGGCAAGACAGTCCTGGTGAGGGATTAAACAAAAGACAGACTCTAAGAATTGACTGTGGAATTATACTTGATAAAGAGCAGAGGGGGACATCAAGGGGCAAGAGATAGTGGTTTGAAAGATAGTTCACCCATTGATCATATACATCTCTCTAATTTTTTTTCTATCTGCATTTTTATTTCTATATCTCAATCATCTATGTATACCCCATAGGAGTGAACAATGTGAAGAGAAGGGAAGAAAGTAAGGGACCCCAGAGCAGGTCACTCAGACACCCTGCCTTTCCCACAGTGGTTGAGCCAATTAGTGGTAAGAAGCAGGGCAGAGCAGGGTCAGGAAATGAGTATATTCCCTTACAGATTTGAGACATCCAAAAGAAAAACAAAGCAAAACAAAACAGATGTTCCCTCTCGTAGAGATTCTTAGAAAATTAGAGTGAAATACTCTCTTAATCATCTCGGCAGACAAGTCTTAGAAATCTCACCAGGTTTTCTCTTACCAATGGTGGGAGAAGAGTAGCAAAATGAATTTCAGGGCACCTGAGAGAAGCTTTAATTGCCATGAAAAGCACTAGGATTAAAGGAGCCTTAAGGACAAGAACTGGGAATTGACACAGAATAGCAGGGCCTCTTGAGAGAAAAGCTAAGCTAGGACAGTCATCTCTGTATGGACAAAGCTCTTCCACATTCTGATACCCGTAGCTCTAATTTTCTATTTCTGTGATACAACATAAGTCTTCAGGAACTAAGCTGTAGTGCAAGGGAAGATTAAATATCTGTCAATTAACAACATTGGCACTTAGGATGTAATTTGTGTTTACTTACAGAAAAAGAAAATAAAATTTCATGCATACCTTAATTTGTGGATTAAAATTCATATCCATTACTACTAATAAGGTAAAGCACCAAGCAATGTCATGAGAAAACCACTTCTGGTTTTATTACTCTACATCTTATTTATTGTAGAAAGTAAGACATGGTGGTTGTGCTTGAAAAGACCCATTTATAGCTCCTCCTCCAAAAACTGTAGGTTTATAAGATGCTATCACCTTTACTGAATGTACTGAAATCCAAAATTCACTTAGAATCAGAAGTCAGGAAGTCAAAATTCAATGAATCATACTTAACTCTTTTCTTCTAATTCCAATGTCTCATCTATCTAATCAATGACTTTTCACTGCTTTCTTCTTTATGCTTTTAAATCATCCCAATTCTAATTCCTCTGACATCTAAGTGGCTCAGGAACTAGCATCGTTTTCAAGAATAATTACTACAGTATTTGAATTGCTTTCTCTCTCTTCAAACCAACACAGTTATTGCTATCAATATTTTCTCAACATAAGGCAAGAATGCTGTAAAATGAAAATTTGAACATGTCCTCCCTTTCATAAAGTCAGTGAAATCCCATCGCTCTTAGAATAATGTACCAAATTCCAGTGCTTTCAGGACATGGATCCTCCTTAGAAACATTGCACATTCTGTTACATTTACATCAGTGTTCAACATTTTACCTATGTAGAATTATTTGCTGGTCCCTGATATGACTTACCTCTAGGCTCTTGCACAGAGTATTTCTTCTGTCTAAACTACACATCTATTGCTCCTCCAAGTCCCACTTGGTCTTGGTCTTTGCCTGAAAAACACTGATTAGGTAAGCCCAAAAAGATGCTAAAGGTTAAAGTGCATTAAGTGCAAAATATTTTTTGCATTTAAATGTTATTCTATTATTTTTTAATTTTAATTCCTGTGTAATTAACATACAGTAAGTTATATTAGTTTCAGGTACAATCTAGTGATTCAACAATTCTATACATTACCATGCTCATCATGATAAATATACTCTTTAATCCCCATCACCTATTACACCAATTCCCCCACCTACCCCACCTCTGGTAACCATCACATTGTTCTTTATAGTTAGGAGTCTGTTTCTTAGTTTGGTTCTCCGTCTTTTTTTCCCCACGTTGTTCATTAGTTTTGTTTCTTAGATTCCACATATGAGTGAAATCATATGGTATTTGTCTTTGACATTTCACTTAGGATTATACTCTCTAGCTCCATCCATATTGTGGCAAATGGCAAGATTTCATTCTTTGTTAGGCTGAAAAATATTCCATTGTATGTAAACATAAAACATCTTCTTTATTCATTCATCTATCACTGACACTTGAGCTGCCTTTATAATTTGGCTATTGTAAATAATGCTGCAATAAATACAGGGTGCATTTATCTTTTCGAATTAGTGTTTTTGTATTCTTTGGGTAAATACCCAGTAGTGCAATTTCTGGATCATAGAGTAGTTCTGTCTTTAATTTTTGAGGAAACTCCATTTTGTTTTCCACAGTGGGTATACCAGTTTGCAGTCCCAACAACAGTGCAATAAGGTTCCTTTTTCTCCATATCCTCACCAACGCTCGTTTCTTGTGTTTTTAATTTTAGCCATTCTGACAGCTGTGAGGTGATATTTCATTGTATTTTCATTTGCATTTCCCTGATGATGAGTGATGGTGAGCATCTTTTCATGTGTCTGCTTGCCATCTGGATGTCTTTTTTGGAGAAATGTCTATTCATGTCTTATGCTCATTTTCTAATCATGTTGTCTTTTGGGTATTAAGTTGTATCAGTTCTTTACGTACTTTGGAAACTAACCCTTCATCAGATATGTCATTTGAAAGTATCTTTTCCCATTCAGTAGGTTGCCCTTTAGTTTTGTTGATTGTTCCTTCACTGTGCAGAAGATTTTTATTTTGATGTAGTCCCAATTTAATTTTGCTTTAATTTCCCTTACCTCAGTAGACATATCTAGAAAAATGTTTCTGTGGCCGATATCAGAGAAATTATTGCCTGTGCTCTCTTCTAGGATTTTTATGGTTTCAAGTCTCACATTTAGATCTTTAATCCATTATGAGTTTATTTTTGTGCATGGTGTAAAAAAGTGGTCCAGTTTCATTCTTTTGCATGTAGCTGTCAGTTTTCCTAGCACCATTTGTTGAAGAGACTGTCTTTTTCCCATTGCATATTCTTATTTTCTTGCCTCTTTTGTCGATTGATTGCCATAAAATAATTGGTGTGCTTCTGTGCTTTCTATACTGTTCCATTAATCTATGTGCCTATTTTTGTGCCGTATTACTCTGTTTTGGTTACTACAGCCTTGTAGTATTCCTTGAAATCTGTAATTGTGATACCTCCAACTTTTTTCCCTTTTTCAAGATTGTTTTGGCTATCTTGGGTCTTGTGGTTCCATACAAATTTTAGGATGATTTGTTCTACAGTTATGAAAACTATTGTTGGAATTTTGGCAGGGATTGCATTAAATTTATACATTGCTTTGGGTAGTAGGGACATTTAAAAAATATTTCTTTTCTCAATCTATGAGCATGGAATATCTTTCCATTTTTTTGTGTGTCATCCTCAATTTAATTCATCAGTGGTTTATAGTTTTCAGAATACAGGTCTTTCACCTCCTTGGTTAAGTTTACTTCTAGGTATTTTATTCTTTTTGACGCAGTTGTAAGTGGGATTGCTTTCTTTATTTCTCTATAACTTCATTACTAGTGTATAGAACTGCAATAGATTTCTGTACTTTAATTCTGTATCCTGCAACCTTACTGAATTCATTTAACAGTTATAACAGTTTTTGGTGGACTTCAGGGCTTTCTATATACAGTATCATGTCATCTGCAAATAGTGTACATTTTACTTCTTCCTTACCAATTTAGATGCATTTTACTTCTTTTGGTTGTTTGATGGCTGTGGCTAGCACTTCCAATATTATATTGAATAAAAGTGGTGAGAGTGGACGCCCTTGTCTTTTCCTGATCTTAGGGGGAAATCTTTCAGTTTTTCACCAAAATGTATGATGTTAGCCGTGGTTTTTTCACATAAGGTCTTTACTATGTTGAGTTATGTTCCCTTTAAACATACTTTGCTGAGTTTTTTTTTTCTTTTAATCATGAATAGCTATTGTACTTTGTTAAATGATTTGTCTGCATCTATTGAAATGATTATAAGAGTTTTTTCCCTTTCTCTGATTGATGTGATGTATCACATTGATCAATTTGCAAATATTGAACCACCCTTGCATCCTAGGAATAAATTCCACTTGACCATGGTGAATGATTTTTTCAATATACTGTTGGATTCGGTTTGCTAATACCTTGTAGAAGATTTTTGCATCTATGTTCATCAGCTATATTGGCCTGTGATTTTTTTTTCTTGTAGTATATTTATCTGGTTTAGTCTCAGGGTAGTACTGGTCTCATAGAATGAATTTGGAAGTTTTCCTTCCTCTTCTATTTTTTTGAAGTAGTTTGAGAAGAGTAAGTATTAACACTTCTTTAGATGTTGGTAGAATTTACCTGTGAAGCCATCTAGTCTTAGACTTCTGTTTGTTGAGAGTTTTTTGATTACTGATTTAATTTCATTGCTGTAAATCAGTCTGTTCAAATTTTCTATTCCTTCCTGATTCAATTTGGGAGATTATATATTTCTAGAAATGTATCCATTTTTTCTAGGTTGTCCAATTCGTTGGCATAAAACTTTTCATAATCTCTTAAAATCTTTTGTATTTCTGTGGTATCAGTTGTTATTTCCCCTTTTTCATTTCTGATTTTGAGTCCTCTCTCCATTTCTCTCACTCTCTCTTTTTTATGAGTCTGGCTAGAGGTTTATCAATTTTGTTGATCTTTTCAAAAAACCAGCTATGTCCTATTTCATTGATTTGTTTTGTTTTTGCTATTGTTGCTGTTGTTTTGTTTTTGTTTTTCGTTTCTATATCATTTATTTCTACACTAATCTTTATTATATCCTTCCTTCTACTGGTTTTCGGTTTTGTTTGTTCTTCTTTTTCTAACTCCTTTAGGTGTAAGTTTAGGTTGTTTACTTAAGATTTTTCCTGCTTCTTGAGGTGGGCCTGTATTTCTATAAACTTCCTTGTAGACTAGTTTTTGTTGAATTCCAGATGTTTTGGACCATTGTGTTTTCATTTTCATTTGTCTCCATGTATTCTTTTATTTCTTCTTTAATTTCTTTTTGATTCATTCATTGTTTAATAGTTTGTGATACAATCGATGCATGGAATGACTTTGATCTTTCTGAATTTGTTGAGGCTTGTTTTGTGGCCTAATATGTGACCTATTTTGGAGAATGTTCCATAAGCACTTGAAAAGAATGTATTCTGCTGTTTTAGGATGGAATGTTCTGAATATATCTGTAAAAACCATCAGTCTAATGTGTCATTCAAAGCTAATGTTTCCTTATTGATTTTCTGTTTGGATGATGTGTCCATTGATTACAAATGGGATGCTAAGGTCCCTTACTACTACTGTATTACTATCAATTACTTTCTTTATATTTGTTATTAACTGCTTTAAGTATGTTCGGTGCAAAAATATTTACAATTGTTTTATCTTCTTGTTGAATTGTCCTTTTAATGATTATATAGTGTCCTTCTTTGTCTGTTGTTACACTCTTTGTTTTAAAGTCTATTTTGTCTAATATAAATATTGCTACCTGGCTTCCATTTCACATTCATTTGCATCTTAAATGTTTCTCCAACCTTTTACTTTCAATCTGCATGTGTCTTTTCTGGTTTGTTTGTTTGTTTGTTTTAATTCTAGTTAGTGAACATACAGTGAAATATTGGTTTCTGGAGTAGAATTCAGTGATTCATCACTTACATAAAATACTCAGTGTTCATTACAACAGTGCCCTCTTTATTTTTTATTTATTTATTTTTTAACAGTGCCCTCTTTAATATCCATCACCTATCTGGCCCATCACCCACCCATATCCCTCCATCAACCTTCAGTTTGTTCACTATTGTTAAGAGTCTCTTATGGTTTATTTCCCTCTCTCTTTTTTTCTTTCCCCCCTTCCTATATGTTCATTTGTTTTCTTTCTTAAATTCTCCATATGAGGGAGATCATATGGTCTTTCCCTGACTGACTTATTTCATGTAATATATTACACTCTAGCTCCATCCACATCATTGCAAATGGCAAGCAAATAGCAAGATTTTATTTTATTTTATTTTATTTTATTATTTTATTTATTTTGTTTATTTTTTTAGAAACAGGAACTCTTTTGCACTGTTGGTGAGAAAGCAAACTGGTGCATCCACTCTGAAGTTTCCTCAGAAAGATACAAATAGAACTACCCTATTATCCAGGAATTACACTACTAGGTATTTACCCAAAGGATACAAAAATACAGATTCGAAGAGGTACATGAACCCTGATGTTTATAGCAGTATTATCAACAATAGCCAAATTATGGAGAGAGCCCAAATGTCCAGCAACTGATGAATGGATAAAGAAGAGGTGGTGTATATATATACAATGGAATACTACTCAGCCATCGATGTGCATGTGCCTTTAAGTCTGAAATGAGTCTTTTGTAGGCAGCATATAGATGGGTCTTGTTTTTTATCCATTCTGTCACTCAATGTCTTTGGAGTGGAATGTTTAGTCCATTTACATTCCAGGTAATTATTGATAGGTAAGTTCGCCATTGTGTTCCTTGTTTTATGGTTTTTTTGTGGTTTTTCTTCATTCCTTTCTTCTCTTGCTAGCTTCTCTCATGATTAGTTGGCTTTCTTTAATGATACTTGGGATCTTTTCTCTTTATTTTTTGCATATCTATTATTGGTTTTGGTTTGTTATCATTCAGTTCATACATAACATCCTTTGTATTTAGTCATCTATATTAAGTTAATGGAAGCTTAAGTTTGAAACTATTCTTTACTCCTCTGCGTATATAGTGTCATACTTTATATCCTTTTATTTTTTGAGTCCCTTGACTGATTTTTTGCAGATATACTTATTGTTACTGCTTTTGTGCTTCCTACTTTCTTTACTCTTGCTTTTACTCTTTTCCTTCCACTCAAAGAGTCCCTTTTAACATTTCTTGTAGGGCTAGTTTAGTGGTCATGAGTTCTTTTAACTTGTATTTTTTTCTGGTAAACTGTTTACCTTTCCTTCAATTCTGAATGAAATCCTTACTGGATAGAGTATTTTTGGCTGCAGAGTTTTTCTTTTCAGCACTTTGGATACATCATGACACTACCCTCTGGCCTGCAAAGTTTCTGCTGAAAAACTAGCTAATAGCTTTATGGGATTTCCCTTGTATGTAACTGCTTTTTTTTTCTTCTTTTTTTCTTCTCTTTGTTGCTTTTAAAATTCTCTCTTTACCACTATGTTTTGCCATCTTAATTACTATGTCTTGGTGTGGACCTCCTTGGGTTGATTTTGTTGAGGGATCTTTGTGCCTCCCACATCTGGATTTCTGTTTCCTTCCCCAGATTCAGGAAGTTTCCAGCTATTATTTCTTCAAATACATTTTCTGCCCCTTTTGTCTCTCTTCTCCTTCTGGGATCCCTATAATACCAATGACACTATGCTTGACGGTGCCACTGAGTTCCATAAGTCTATTCTCATTTTGCATTATTTTTTTCTCTCACTTGATCAGTTTCTATTACTCTATCCTCCAGGCCACTGGTTTGTCCTTTTGTTTCATCTAGTCTATTTGATCTAGTGTATTTTTCTTTTCATTTATTATGTTCTTCATCTCTGATTTGTTCTTTTTTATTTCACTGTTAAGGGTCTTGCTGATGTCCTCCACTTTTTTCTCACATCCAGTTATTATCTTTATGATCATTACTTTAAATTTCCTATCAGGCATATTACTTATCTTTCACTTAGGTCACTTGCTATGACTTTGGTCTTATTCTTTAATTTGAGACATATTCCTCTGTCTCTTCATTTTGTCTAACTCTCTGTGTCTGTTTTTATGTGTTAAGACAGCTATGTCTATTGCACTTCAAAATAGTGGCCTTATGAAGAAGAGGTCCTGTAGTGCCCTACCACGTAGTATCCCCTGTTCACCAGAACCTGGAACTTCAGGGGTGTTTTCTCTGTGTGATGCATGTACCCTGGTGTTGTGACTGAACTGTTTTTTCCTTCAGTGCAATCATCTACAAGAGCTCTCTCTACCTGTTGTGGGCAGTGTTTGTTCCCTGTGGTGTTAATGGGCCAGACACCTTGGGCTGAGTTGAGTCAGACCAAGTATTTGCCAGAGATGCAGTAGCACAAAACTTCAGGGTGCTTTCCCTGCAGTGTTGTGCTCTGAGAAGTTTTTGTTGGTATGTGGGACCTGCAGTCAGACCACCATCTGCCTCCAGCCCAATGCTGGGGCCTTTGACTGGTGTGTGTGTTTATCTTTCCCTCTTTCTGGGGCAGGAGTCACCTTGGAGTGGTGCTGGCTACTGTAGGGGCTGCTTGCACCCTTCCAGGCTTACAGTACCATCCTATATGGGCTTTGGCCTAAAGCATATGGGAGAGGGCAACTGTGGTGAAGCCCAGCACAGAAGGGCAGTGCAGTGGTGCTAGCAAGCTTTGAATGCTGAGGTCCTCTGTGGGGGGAGGCCTACAGCACCTGGACTGAGGCAAGCTGTCCAGAAGGGTGGATTCTCAGGAGCACAATATGGAGGAGTGGGGAAGCAGTGTTAGCAAGTTAGGTAGCAAGTCTCACAGGTGGCTGTGTGTTTATGCTGGGAGGCAGGGGAGAGAAATGACACCTGCTAGTTCCATTGTTCCTGGAGGAGTTCCCCAATGATTTCTACCCAAATAACTCTCCCTCACATATGCCCCAAGCACATTTTAGACTGCTGCTTCTTTGCTGTATCTCCACAGGCTGTTATACTGTCTCTTTAAGGTCAGAGACTCAGTTTCCTCTTTCCCACCAACTTTCCCTGAGCTGAGCCAATGGATCTTCTAAAATTCCAGGTTTTAAGTCTTGCTCTTTGTAAGAACTCACAAAATTCAGCTCTTCTGGGTTTTCAAAACCAAATGTTATGGGGATTCATCTTCTGCAGTCAGGCTCCCTGGTGTGAGGGCATCTCTCTCCTCTCTCCACGTTTACAGCATCCTTCTTTCCCATAGTCCTGCAATTCTCTTTAGTTCCTGACCGCATTTCTGCCCTTCCCACCCTCTTCAGTGTGGCTTCTTTTCTTCATTTAGTTGTGGAGTTCATTCTGCCAGTCTTCAGGTCATTTTCTGGGTGGTTTACACTGATGTGAACGTTATCTAGTTGTATCTGTGAGATGAGGAACCTAGAATCCTACTCCACCATCTTTCCAGAAGTCTTCTGGTCACTGCAGCAACCATGGTTAATCAACTTCCTCCCCTTCTGTTTTTAAACAGATATATCCTCTTACAGAAGAAAAATGAACTGGAGCTCAATCTCCAATTAGGCAATTGTTGGTCAAATACATTGGATTTATTTTGACTTGTCTATCCCATTATATGTGAAAATTATTGTGAAAAAAATTGAAAAAAAGGTGTTCCTTCTGTATAAGGGAAACGTGATTTCAATGACAATACTTTCAGTTCATTTGAATTTAATGAAAACATATTCATTAATTTTGATTGCTATTACTTAAATTGTCTAACATCATTTTCCTGTAGCAGAATCAGTGGGTAATTTCAAACTAAAAATGGCATACAACAGTGATCTGAGGTTAGAAATATTGCTCAAATCAGTTTCTTACTATGCTTTCAAAAGTCAGTGAGCTCTACCATCTTAATACTATTCTTTCTAAATCAGATAAGAAGAATGGATTTTTTTCTTCTGATGTGTGAACCAAATGAGGGAATAAAGACTTAGTCATAGATTTTTCTGTACTGATACAAATTTATGAATTAATGGACAACACTTCTAAATAAGTTCATTGCCTACAGCAGTTTCAACCAAGTTATTCCATAGCGATAATACAATTGTAAATGTTTTGTTATCATCTTATATTATTTAGTAAGATATATTTGAGAGATTTATCTCTGAATGCCAGTAATTTGCCTATTTTTAAAATACATTTCTAATACTTCTTCTTGATTTGCTTAGTATTGTAGGAACAACATTGTCCAAATGCCTTTGCCTCTGGCCAAAGATAGGAATCAGAAGCAGAATGTAGTTCAAGTGTATTAAGGAAGTAAGATTATTTCTATACTCTGTTTTCAGTGGCTTCACTGGCATCAGCTCCTTCTCTTCATTATTCTGTCTCCTACAAAATACACCTTCCCTCTGTGTCAGCTCCTGCAAAATTTAGCCCTTGCTATAGAGCACCAGCTACAGAGCTCTCATAACATCACTTCTTTCATGTGTCCCCCCAGTCTTAGGAATGGTAGTGCTTCCTGCTGTTTCTAATCTCTGCTTACCTTCTCATAAATTGTCTTCCTTTGGTATCCAGTCACCCATGTAACCAATTCCTTGTGTTAAATTTTCTCTGATTGAAACACTTAGATGGTTTTAATTCTCCCTGCATACAAACAGATTGTTGTTTCTTTTTTAGGCTTAAAGAGATAAAGACTAGAGGAACTCTTAGGTGATTCTTCTAATAAGAGTGAATCTCTTTGATAAAACAGTACTTCCAGCACAACTTTCTAAGAAGAAAAGTCCCATGTTCTTAGGAAATTAAAATGTTTATGCTTCATATTACATATTAAGAAATCTACAGGGGCGTCTGGGTGGCTCAGATGATTAAGCATCCGCCGTTGGCTCAGGTCATGATCCCAGGATCCTGGGATCGAGCCCTGCATTGGGCTCCTTGTCGCCCTCTGCTACTCCCTTTGCTTGTGCTCTCTCACTCTCTCTGTCAAATAAATAAATAAAAATCTTTAAAAAAAAAGAAATCTACAAAGAACATCTCATTACTATGCCCCTGGATGACACTTGAGTATTTTTTTTCTAAGTGTTTAAAGTCAATTAATACTATCAACTAATTTATTTCTAGTGTCTTCTATATACTTCATGATGAGGGAACAGAAGGCAAACTGAAGACAAAGGAGAAGCTGACACCCCACAACTCTCCCACACCAGATGGGATATATGTGACATTCCTCATGCACTCCTGGCTGTCCTAAAGCCAAGGAAAAGAAAAACAAATAGTAACCTTATAGAGATCACAATCCTGAAAGACATGAGTCTCCCTCAGTTTACAAATGTCTTAGCAATCTACAAGAACAAAGCATTTCTATCAATAACCTAGCTTCCAGGAGGAAATGTAGATACAATTAGATGTCCTTATAACCTGCAGCCCATTGACAGTTAATTGAAGCAGGTAGAGTGTAATGTTCCTCCAGGAAGCTCCCAACTATCTTAATGTTAATGCCTTGCTAGAGGGAAAAACAACCTTCATTTGACAATGGCACAGCCACTGGTATCTTGGGATGCTTCTTTAACATATGAAAATCCTTTTGAGACCTCCTTTTTTCTTATCTCCCTCAACTCCCAGGTATGTAATCAGCCACCCCTCACGACCCTGGTGCAGCAGTTCTTTCTACTCATGGGTCCTGTCCGCATGCTTTCATGAGGTGCAATCCAAAATGGGGGCACTAACTGCTAGGATAAATGAGGCAGAAGAGAGAATCAGTGATATAGAAGACCAAATGATGGAAAATAAAGAGGCTGAGAAAAAGAGGGAGAAACAACTACAGGATCACGAGGGCAGAATTCGAGAGATATGTGATACGATAAGATGAAACAACATTAGAATAATTGGGATCCCAGAAGAAGAAGAAAGAGAGAGAGGGGCAGAAGGTATATTGGAGCAAATAATAGCAGAGAACTTCCCTAATGTGAGGAAGGAAACAGGCATCAAAATCCAGGAGGCACAGAGAACTCCTCTCAAAATCAATAATAATAGGTCAACACCCCGACATCTAATAGTAAAACTTACGAGTCTCACAGACAAAGAGAAAATCCTGAAAGCAGCTCGGGAGAAGAGATATGTAACCTACAATGGTAAAAATATTAGATTGGCAACAGACCTATCCACAGAGACCTGGCAGGCCAGAAAGGACTGGCAAGATATCTTCAGAGCACTAAACGAGAAAAATATGCAGCCAAGAATACTATATCCAGCTAGGCTATCATTGAAAATAGAAGGAGAGATAAAAAGCTTCCAGAACAAACAAAAACTAAAGGAATTTGCAAACACGAAACCAGCCTTCCAAGAAATATTGAAAGGGGTCTTCTAAGCAAAGAGAGAGCCTAAAAGCAGCAAAGATCAGAAAGGAACACAGACAACATACAGTAACAGTCACCTTACAGGCAATACAATGGCACTAAATTCATACCTTTCAATAGTTACCCTGAATGTAAATGGGCTAAATGCCCCAATCAAAAGACACAGGCTATCAGATTGGATTAAAAAACAAGACCCATCCATATGCTGTCTGCAAGAGACTCATTTTAGACCCAAAGACACCCCCAGATTGAAAGTGAGGGGGTGGAAAACCATTTACCATGCTAATGGACACCAAAAGAAAGCTGGGGTGGCAATCCTTATATCAGACAAACTAGATTTTAAAACAAAGACTGTAATAAGAGATGAGGAAGGACACTATATCCTACTTAAAGGGTCTATCCAACAAGAAGATCTAACAATTGTAAATATCTATGCCCCGAACATGGGAGCAGCCAATTATATAAGGCAATTAATAACAAAAGCAAAGAAACACATTGACAACAATACAATAATACTGGGGGACTTTAACACCCCCCTGACTGAAATGGACAGGTCATCTAAGCAAAAGATCATCAAGGAAATAAAGACTTTAAATGACACACTGGACCAAATGGACTTCACAGACATATTCAGAATGTTCCATCCCAAAACAACGGAATACACATTCTTCTCTAGTGCCCATGGAACATTCTCCAGAATTGATCACATCCTAGGTCACAAATCAGGTCTCAACTGGTACCAAAAGATTGGGATTATTCCCTGCATATTATCAGACCTCAATGCGTTGAAACTAGAACTCAATCACAAGAGGAAAGTTGGAAAGAACTCAAATACATGGAGGCTAAAGAGCATCCTACTAAAGAATGAATGGGTCAACCAGGATATTAAAGAAGAATTAAAAAAATTCGTGGGAACCAATGAAAATGAAAACACAACTGTCCAAAATCCTTGGGATACAGCAAAGGCAGTCCTGAGAGGAAAGTATATAGCAATACAAGCCTTTCTCAAGAAACAAGAAAGGTCTCAAATACACAACCTAACCCTACACCTAAAGGAACTGGAGAAAGAACAGCAAATAAAGCCTAAACCCAGCAGGAGAAGAGAAATCATAAAGATCAGAGCAGAAATCAATGATCTAGAAACCAAAAGAACAGTAGAACAGATCAACGAAACTAGGAGCTGGTTCTTTGAAAGAATTAACAAGATTGATAAACCCCTGGCCAGACGGATCAAAAAGAAAAGAGAAATGACCCAAATCAACAAAATCCTGAATGAAAGAGGAGAGATCACAACCAACACCAAAGAAATACAAACAATTATAAGAACATATTATGAGCAACTCTATGCCAGCAAATTAGATAACCTGGAAGAAATGGGTGCATTCCTAGAGATATATCAACTACCAAAACTGAACCAGGAAGAAATAGAAAACCTGAACAGACCTATAACCACTAAGGAAATTGAAGCAGTCATCAAAAATCTCCCAAGAAACAAAAGCCCAGGGCCAGATGGCTTCCCAGGGGAATTCTATCAGACATTTAAAGAAGAATTAATACCTATTCTCCTGAAACTGTTCCAAAAAATAGAAATGGAAGGAAAACTTCCAAACTCATGTTATGAGGCCAGCATTACCTTGATCCCAAAACCAGACAAAGACCCCATCAAAAAGGAGAATTACAGACCAATATCCTTGATGAACATGGATGCAAAAATTCTCACCAAAATACTAGCCAATAGGATCCAACAGTACATTAAAAAGATTATTCACCACGACCAAGTGGGATTTATCCCTGGGCTGCAAGGCTGGTTCAATATCCGCAAATCAATCAACGTGATACAATACATTAACAAAAGAAAGAACAAGAATCATATGATCCTCTCAATAGATGCAGAAAAAGCATTTGACAAAGTACAGCATCCTTTCTTGATCAAAACTCTTCAGAGTATAGGGATAGAGGGTACATACCTCAATATCATAAAAGCCATCTATGAAAAACCTACAGCGAATATCATTCTCAATGGGGAAAAGCTGAGAGCTTTCCCCCTAAGGTCAGGAACGCGGCAGGGATGTCCACTCTCACCACTGCTATTCAACATAGTATTAGAAATCCTAGCCACAGCAATCAGACAACAAAAAGAAATCAAAGGCATCCAAATCGGCAAAGAGGAAGTCAAACTCTCACTCTTTGCAGATGATATGATACTTTATGTGGAAAACCCAAAAGACTCCACCCCAAAACTGCTAGAACTCATACAGGAATTCAGTCAACCAGCAGGCTATAAAATCAATGCACAGAAATCAGTGGCATTCCTATACACCAACAACAAGACAGAAGAGAGACAAATCAAGGAGTCGATCCCATTCACAATTGCACCCAAAACCATAAGATACCTAGGAATAAATTTAACCAAAGAGGCAAAGGATCTGTACTCAGAAAACTATAAAATACTCAGGAAAGAAATTGAAGAAGACACAAAGAAATGGAAAAACGTTCCATGCTCATGGATTGGAAGAACAAACATTGTGAAGATGTCAATGCTACCTAGAGCAATCTACACATTCAATGCAATCCCCATCAAAATACCATCCACTTTTTTCAAAGAAATGGAACAAATAATCCTAAAATTTGTATGGAACCAGAAGAGACCCTGAATAGCCAGAGGAATATTGAAAAAGAAAAGCAAAGCTGGCGGCATCACAATTCCGGACTTCCAGCTCTATTACAAAGCTGTCATCATCAAGACAGTATGGTACTGGCACAAAAACAGACACATAGATCAATGGAACAGAATCGAGAGCCCAGAAATGGACCCTCAACTCTACGGTCAACTTATCTTTGACAAAGCAGGAAAGAATGTCCAATGGAAAAAAGACAGTCTCTTCAACAAATGGTGTTGGGAAAATTGGACAGCCACATGCAGAAGAATGAAACTGGACCATTTCCTTACACCTCACACAAAAATAGGCTCCAAATGGTTTAAAGACCTAAACGTGAGACAGGAGTCCATCAAAATCCTAAAGGAGAACACAGGTAGCAACCTCTTTGACCTCAGCCGCAGCAACTTCTTCCTAGAAACATCACCAAAGGCACGGGAAGCAAGGGCAAAAATGAACTATTGGGATTTCATCAAGATAAAAAGCTTTTGCATAGCAAAAGAAACAGTCCACAAAACCAAAAGACAACCGACAGAATGGGAGAAAATATTTGCAAATGACATATCAGATAAAGGGCTAGTATCCAAAATCTATAAAGAACTTATCAAACTCAACACCCAAAG